CTTTCTATCTTATGGAAAAGGTAGGAAAAGTGGGGGTAACTAGCAGTCCAGAGGTATATAGTCAAAGGTACAACCAGTAGGGACACTCCGGCACCTTTGATCTCCGTGCCGCAGTCACGTGATCATCCGCCATGTTAATGTTTGAAAAATCCAGGGCCGAAAGAGGATATGCCCCTAAGTAATAATGTAATAACACTAAAAAATTTTACAAAAATACAAACTAATGAACAAAATTAATTCGAAAATAATAAGAACTAGTAAATAAATCAAATTTATTAAGTTAAATAATAATTATGAAATAAACATTTTTATTTAGTTATTTTTCGTAAAAAAAATATCAAGAATATAATATAAATTTTACTTATATAAATATAGATATAAAATTTAAAAAAAGATTATATTTGTGGTGTGTGTGTTTTACCTAATTAAACATAATTATAAAAAGAATATTAATAAATAATTATGTATATTGTATAAAAAGGAAGTAATATTTAAAAAATGAATAATAAATTTTATTTAAAAATAAAAACACATGTGTTTAATCATATATTAGTACATTGACTTATAATTTACATTATATGTATACCGATATATTAATATTATACTAATTACAATTTGTAACATTTGCTGAAAAATAATTAAAATTATTTATGTTTCCATATAATTAATTTTTGTGGATTTTTTGGAGATTTAAAATTGCGATTAATAAATTTTAGAGTATAGTATATTCGCATTCTAGCATAAAGTTTTTTTAGATACATATGTGGAAATTGATCACATGGATGAATAAAAATAACTTTGTTGAATTCTATTAAAAGCTTTTCTTTTTTATAACATTTTTTTCAACGACAAAATTTTCAAAACACATTTAATGAAAATATTTTCTAAATTACAAATATAATAGATAAAATTATCATGTGACATATAAAGTGTTCCAAAATTAGAAGAATTTATTTGATAGGTTTTAAAAAAAGAGAATAAAGAACTATCATCAAATTCAGTGTGACTTATACTATATTCTTTGCAGACGTTGCATGTATGTTGTGTGATAGACATTTTTTAATTAAATATCCAGAAATGTATCTAATTGAATTTTTTTCCATTATTTGGAGTTTTTGATAATCAGTATCAATAGAAGTAAAATTATTAGTGATCTCATCAATTTCTTGATTAGA